TAATATCTCCACTTTAATGATAAAAGTCCTAAGTATTGGGAAGCTATAAAGTTCATGGTGGGAGTTGACAGGTTTCCCAAAATCTGATTTTTTTCCCCCAAAATCTAATTTTTGCACAAAAGCTTTATTATTGGCATCTAATACTATATTTTGTTGTTGTTGTTTTTTTCCTAATACTGTCTTTTGGGAAAAAGATCTGCCAGATACCCAAGTCTGCATTATCATATTTTTTCTATCAGTTGTTCTTCCAGTTAAGAATGGTATTTAGTGAAAAAAAATGGCTAGTCCATCTAATTGAAACATTTGTACAAGTGCTTTACTTTATGACAGCATAATACTGCACCATGCACCAGAGGTGTTTTACTTTTATTTCCTCTGTAAAACAGACTCCTACTTAAGAGTAAGGATTTAATAAATAGAATTTATAGTATCTCTTTGCTTTATCAAGGTCATTCTTAGGAAATTGATACGACAGCCTCGATTGTGCTAAGGTACCAGCAGTTTTACTTACCAGTTATTTTTTTCACTATTAGTATAGATGGCAGTACAGTGAAGAAAGGCAAATAATATCTTAATATTATTGGGAAGGTTTTTACCTCACAGGACCCCTGTAAACATCTCAGATTCTGTGGACTTCATTTTGAGAAGAATACTAGTAGAGTATTACCATTTTATGATTATGATTGCTGTTAGTAAAACCTTAAGTGTTGTTTATAGATAAGAAGAAAAGCTCTTTTGGGGGTAGGATTTACAAAATTATTGGAATTGTGTTAAGTAGTGTATACAGAAGTGACCAGTAACCACTGGTTATAATTCTTAATGCTGTCAGCTGAACATGATGCAGCTTTTGCTCTTTTAAAAATTGCTTTGTAGGGTCGGGCTTGGTTACTCATGTCTGTAATTCTAGCACTTTGGGAGGTTAAGGTGGAAGGATCACTTGAGCCCAGGAGTTTGAGGCCAACCTGGGTAACATAATGAGACCTCATCTACTGTACTAAAAATAAAAAAATTAACCTGGCATGGTGGTGTGCGCCTGTGGTCTCAGTAACCTGGGAGGCTAAGGCCGGAGGATCACTTGAGCCCAGGAGTTGGAGATTACAGTTAGCTGTGATTGTGCCACTGCACTCCAACCTGGGTGACAGCAAAACCCTGACTTGAAAAAAAAAGTTCCAATATAAACAGATTCTGTTATAATTTAGTCAGGCTTTCTAATAGATGACATTTCTCTCATGTCTTCCTATACCATAAAAATTCATAATGCAAAATATTACTTTTAATACAAATTATAATTCAATTCACGTGCCATCCAGATGAGAATTTATTGCTATGCCTTGTGAAGTTGTCTTAACAGAAATCTATTTTGTAATATGAGGCAGAATAAATGAAAGATAGTCTTTCATATGTTTTCTTTTTTTTTTTTTTGAGATGGAGTTTCACTCTTGTTACCCAGGCTGGAGTGCAATGGCGCGATCTTGGCTCACCGCAACCTCCGCCTCCTGGGCTCAGGCAATTCTCCTACCTCAACCTCCTGAGTAGCTGAGATTACAGGCACGCGCCATCATGCCCAGCTAATGTTTTGTATTTTTAGTAGAGATGGGGTTTCACCATGTTGACCAGGATGGTCTCGATCTCTTGACCTTGTGATCCACCTGCCTCGGCCTCCCAAAGTGCTGGGATTCCAGGTTTGAGCTACTGCGCCCGGCATCTTTCATATATTTTCAACTTGGGAAACTGAGTTCTTAAGCGTACTTTTCCTTACAAATTGTTTTCAAGCTTTCTATTTTGAAAAGTTCACATATAACCAGAGTAGACACAATGGTATAGATAATAAACTCACACCCAGTTTCGTGAATTGTTAATTCATAGATAATCCTATTTTACTCATGTCCGACTTCCTCCTACTCCTGCCCCAGTTATTTTGAAGCAAATTTCAAATGTCACCTTTCATTTTTAAATATTTCAGTATGTATCTCTCAAAGAATTTAAGATCATAACTTAGAGAAAAAAGCATTATATCTTGGTTTCTCTTAAAAGTAATGTAGGGCTAGGCACAGTGGCTCATATTTGTTATCTCAGCATTTTGGGAAGCTGAGGCAGCTGGATCACCTGAGTTCAGGAGTTGGAGACCAGCCTGGCCAACATGGCAAAACCCTGTCTCTACAAAATACTAGCCAGGCATTGTGGCATGCAACTGTAGTCCCAACTACTCAGGAGGCTGAGGCAGGAGAACTGATTGAACTTGGGAGGCTGAGATTGCAATGAGCCGAGATTGTACCACTGCCTGGGTGACAGAGTGAGACTCTGTCTCAAAAAAAAGGTATTAGCAACCTGTTAGTGCCTAATAGAAATATTCTAACCTCTTTGACTTTTTTTTTTTTTTTTTGCATCAATGTGCTTTCGGACTAGATGTACCTGATGTATTGGATAAAACACTTTTTAAAATGAATATTGTTTCCTTGAGCTTTTCTACCTGTTCACCTTGATCTTGTACTTTGTGATTATGCTAGTAGACATGGCAGAAAAAACACATATGGATGACTAGAAGCTTTGAAATTATTTTAAGATTTTGGACTTTTCCAGGATGAAGAGACTCGGCACAGCCTTGAGTGCATCCAGGCCAATCAGATCTTTCCTAGGAAGCAGCTGATCCGAGAGGATGAGAATCTTCAGGTAATTACAGACCACTTTTAAATGTAACATATTTATTTAGGATTAACTGTATAGCAGAGTTAATGGATTGAAGTGTAATGTACTTCCGTGTGTGTGTATATAATTTTTTTTTTTTTTTTTTTTTTTGAGACAAGAGTCTTGCTCTGTCTCAAGGCTGGAGTGCAGTGGCATGATCTCGGCTCACTGCAACCTCTGCCTCCCAGGTTCAAGCAGTTCTCCTGCCTCAGTCTCCTGAGTAGCTGTGACTATAGGCATGTGCCACCACATCCAGCTAATTTTTGTGTTGTTAGTAGAGACAGGCTTTCACCATGTTGGCCAGGATGATCTCGATCTCTTGACCTTAAGATCCACTTACCTTGGCCTCCCAAAGTGCTGGGATTACAGTGTGAGCCACAGTGCCCAGCCTATTTTTTTTTCTTAAACCCTACATGTAGTAGAAATGGAAGCTGAAAAACGTCTCATTTTAGCAAGACTTATTTCCCGAGAACCCACTATTTAAGATGATCTTCTCTGTATCATTCCTTTAGTAGTTCAGAATTTGAATAACTAGATACATTTGAATTAAGTGAGTATAAACCCATCCTCTTTAGTTTCCTTACCTACTTATGTTCTGTGTTTTCAACTTCAGTGGCAGAGGATTTACCATCCATTTAGCTAACTGATGTTTGAAGCTTTTTTTTTTTTTTTTTTTTTTTTTTTTATTTTCTCTTTTTTTTTTTTTTTTTAACTGCTTCAGAAATCTGAAGGGTTTCTTCCATTTCAAAGGTTCCTTTCCTTGAACTTCATGGAGAGAGCACAGAGTTTGTTGGCCGAGCGGAGGATGCCATCATTGCCCTTTCAAATTACAGACTTCACATCAAGTTCAAGGAGTCTCTTGTTAATGTAAGTGATTACCAACTCTTATCCCTCTAAGATAGATGGAGAAAGGAAGTAGCAAAATGTAATGTTCTCAAAGAAAGGAGAGGCATACATAATTGGGAGTAAAAGCATTGTGTGCTTAGCTGTTCTCACTTAATTTAGCACTCAAGGAACACTAGGTTAGCAAGCAACTCTTATGCCTGATTTAAAATGATGGCGTGTAGTTGTCAGTTGAGGTGTCCATTGTTTAGTTAACAGTGAATGATGTACTAGGTAATGCTAGATCATTAAGCTTTATAAAGGTATAAAGTCTGAATAGGCTTTTATTCCTCAATCTTTAGTAGTTACCGACAGCCTGAGTTGAGATAATTCCCTGGGCCTTAATGTCAAATGATGAGATGTACTTTGAGCTCACTGCAGACTCTCATTTCAGCATGAAGTTACTCTAATGACTTCTTGGTGGTATAAGTATAGATGTTAAGTATAATGTTTATTTGCATAATGGACTATGTATTACTGAAATAAAGGAAGGCTCTTGATTCTCAAGAGTACATTTACCCTTTTCAGTTATGAATGTCCTCTCAGTGAACTGTTTCTTCCAGTGCTCTGCTATCTTTAGTCTTAAATGAAACCGACAAAGGCCTAAAAATTTATGTACTTAGACACCAAATGCCTTCTTCCTTCTATATTTGCCAGTGTGGTGGCTTTCTACACTTGACTTATAGCACATAAAAATGTATTATGACTTGTTAAAACAGCTCAGGACTATAATTTTATGCAGATTGTATTTTGGGTTCATTTTGGGATTCTTTGAAATCTGTTGAGTTCATTTGTTTTACTGAGCAGTCCAGAAAGAAAAAAGACTCATTGGCTGTCTTTTTTTTTTTTTTTTNTTTTTTTTGGTAGTTGACATTTATTTCTTGTTATTATCATTCTGGCTTTGTATTTAAGCATTTATGTCCAGGAGCAGTTTTGGCCTGAATCCCTTCTGGCTTCTAGATTTGGGCCGTGATTATAGCAGTTACATCAGTTTTCTGTCTATCAGCTAAAGATACACACCAGATTCATTAAGGAAAGAGGCAATGCAGTTCTTTCATACTATGTAGCACTTTGTTTAGAAGGGTCCACTTGGATTTGAGTAGTCATGAGTGATGAGGAGGGGAAAGGGGGGATATATCTATAAAATTCCAGCAACCGAAAATTCCCCACCAGTTACTGTGGAAGTAACTATAGTAACATTTAGCAGAACTTCCCAGTTTAACTTTGTGTTCTTTCAGTGTTTGAATGCCTGGAATAAATTATAATTAAATTGCAGGCCAGGCGTAGTGGTTTACGCCTGTAATCCCAGTACTTTGGGAGGCCAGGGCGGGCGGATCACAAGGTCAGGAGTCTGAGACCAGCCTGGCCAACATGGTGAAACCCCGTCTCTACTAAAAAAAAAAATTAGCAGAGCATGGTGGCACGTGCCTGTAGTCCCAGCTACTCAGGACGCTGAGGCAGGAGAATCTTTTGAACCCGGGAGGCAGAGGTTACAGTGAGCCAAGATGCGCACCACTGCACTCCAGCCTGGGAGACAGAGTGAGACTCCAATATAGTTTGATATCATTGCATTTTCTTATATCATCCTGTATTTATCAGTTTATTGGTTGATGGCCAGATATTTCAGAGACTATTTGTAGATCTATTTGGGAATAAGGTCTGCTGGAAAGAAAGCATGAAACTGATCATATCGTTTATCAGCTTAAAGCCCTTCAGTGTTTCTTCACTACTTCTCTGATGAAGATCAAATTATTTAGCACAGCATGAGGCTGTTTGGTCCCTACCACGTTGTCAGCTTCCCTCCTTTCCGCATTCTCACTTTTTCTTTTTGTTTTTTTTTTTTTTACTTGTAAAAGCAGCCTCCTTGTACTATTCAGCCATACCGCACACCTCTGTGTTCTTTTCTTTTCCGCCCAGGAACTTCTCTTCATCTGCCAAAATTTAGTTCAGATGATAACTTCTTCTGTGAAGTCTGTTAGTCCCAGTTCCCTCTATGACAGTTACACTCTTTCTCGTGTCTTTTATATCTGGGACATTCTTTTACAACATAGACCAAATAGGTTGTAATTTTTGTATCTTCAAGATCCAGCGTGTCACCTGGTGCCACTATATTTAGTAAATATTAAATGAATTGAAATTAATGTGCGTTTGAAGTGGGCATTAGACCCTTTTCCCCCCTTTTGGGTTTAAAGCTCATTTTAAAACAGTACATTTCTATGAATAGGCTGTGTCTGAATTGTTTCAAAGGGTAACTGTGTGAGTAGGTTGTTGACTCGGATTGTTGATCCCCCCACTGTGATTAAGATATAATACTTAAGGAAATTTACCACTGTTCTTTCTTTTGATCCATTTTCTTAAACTGAAAGTGTTTTCTCTGTTAGCATTATAACCCTCTTAAGGCATAGAGCCTACATGTTACTTAGAAGTTCAGGGTAGGCCAGGCGTAGTGGCACATGCCTGTAATCCCAGCACTTTGGAATGCTGAGGCAGGCGGATCACCCGAGGTTGGGAGTTCAAGCCCAGCCCGGCCAAAATGGTGAAACCCCGTCTCTACTAAAATACAAAAATTAGCTGGGCATGGTGGTACATGCCTGTAACTGCAGCTACTCGGGAGACTGAGACAGGAGAATCACTTGAACACAGGAGGGAAAGGTTGCAGTGAGCTGAGATCACACCATTGCACTCCAGCCTGGACAACAGAGGGAGACTCTCTCTTAAAACAAAAAACAAAACAAAACAAAAAAAACTCAAGATAATGGCTTTGTACAGAAAAATGATCGCAGTGGCTTTAAAAATTTCAGATTGAGAGAGACTAGAACTCCTCCATAAAAATAATTTGATCACAATTAGTGCAAAGATTCCTGGAACCTGAAACCTGGGGTTACTTAGGAAATAAGGATTCCTCCTGCATCAGGTCCTGGATGGAGATCAGATAGTTGGTAGTGGTATTGTCCCAACTTCAGCGCATAAGTATTTCAATAAAATGTGTATATTTCAATAAAATATGTTAGAACAGGAGGCCCCCCCTTAAAGGTTATTTTATCTAAATCAAACACATTTAAACCATCAAAGCCCAAATGTACCAGTATATGTTGTGGCATGCTCCCAGTTTGCATCATTTTATTTACTTAAGTCAAAATACTTAGCATTTTAGAAAATGACTTACCATTAAGTTTTAATTAGCTACCTGATATCATATATTCCCTTTTAATTTCATAGAACATTGAATAAAATGTGTCTGTAGATTTTGATACCATAAACATCATTACCTTAATTCACATATTCACTGAATATCAAGTTCTAGTTCCTATGGTAAAGAATCTCTGTAGTAGAGTTCATGTGTAGCATTTAAGGTATGAATTGCTCCTATTCTGTGCTCTTCCCAAATAATTATTATATATTTACAGACATAGTTCCTTGAAGCTTAGATAATTTATAAACAAGTGTTCAAGTGGCATTCATGAAAGTTTAAAAGTTTTTTTTGTGTGTGTGTGTAATTTAATAGACTGCTTCTCAATCTGCTGCTTCTGAAATCCCAGTAAGTAGCATGAGAATCCTAGGCGGTTGCTGCACCTGTGCTTGGAGCAAATTGATTTTGAGTGTTACATGCTCACCTTGCATATCAGCAGAATGTTTCCCCTCTGCATGAGTCTTTTTCCTCTTACTGGACAAAATTCTAGTTGTATGCTACTATGAGAATAATTTATAGGGTAAGGAAAAAGATCTGCAGTTTGTACATAAGCAGATGGAATTGTGACCTTCAAAAAAATGTAGATCAAGTTTCTATTAGAAATAATTTGTAAAATCAACACTAGTTTTTCTTTTTCTTTTTTTTTTTTTTTGGTGGGGGAAGCGTCGGAGATGGAGTTTCACGCTGTCTCCCAGGCTGAGTTCAGTAGCACAGTCTCGGCTCACTGCAGCCTTAGCCTCTTTGCCTCAAGTTATCCTCCCACCTCAGCAGCTCTGAGTGTTGGGACTACAGGTGTTAGCCACCATACCCTGCTGCAAAAGAGATTATTGTTAACACTTAATGCACTTTGGTCTAGCATTCATGTAACAGTGGGAGTCTCTGAAACCAGTGCTGGAGGCTTATAAATTGTCAAAGGTGAGTAATAGAGTTTGAGTCTTAAACCAGTGACAGTCTTCTTCTGGTGCTTAGTGGGTTTTCTGTTGTTCTTTGTTTTTTTGAGACATGGTCTTACTCTGTCACCCAGGCCGGAGTGCAGTGACGCCATCATGGCCTCACCTTCCTGCATTCATGTGATCCTCCCACCTCAGGCTTCTGAATAGCTGGGACTACAGACACATGCCACCATATTCTGTTAATTTAATTTTATTTTTTGTAGAGATGGTGTCTGTGTTGCCCAGGCTGCTTTTAAACTCCTGGGCTCAAGCAGTCCACCCACCTCGGCCTCCTAAAATGCCAAGATTATAGATGTGAGCCACAATTTCTTTCTTCCTTTTTTTTTTTTTCCCAGAGACAGGATTTTGCCATTTTGTCTAGGGTGATCTAGAAGTCCTGGGCTCAAGCGATCCTTCCGCCTTAGCCTCCCAAAGTGCTGGGATAATAGGCATGAGCCATTGTTCCCAGCCTTGATTAGTTTTTGATTGAAAAAATTCTGTGCCCAGATATTCCACTTTATTACAGATGGTAGATTTAGACTCACTTCTTGCTTTATTTTTACTGTTACTGCCATTTTAACTTCAGGTGTACAAGCGCAAGATTAGTACTTCCCATTCAGACTATAAAAAGGGCATTTGTTTTTAAAAAGGTAGAAATTATCCCACTCTAAATTCTCGTGCTTAAAAATAATGCACATGTATGCACACACACCCAGAATGAATTGAGGATGTAAATATAGTAGGGTATGATGACATCAGATCCCTCTGGAATGTGACAGTATTATGGGATATACCTGTGCATGTGTGCTAAATTTTTAAACTGCTGCTCTTCTGCTTTTTTTTGGATTGATGCTCTTAAGGGTGTTGGTGTCTGTGATGTGACTTTTGGCTTTTGAGGAATTGGTTATAGCACTGAATGTGTTTGATGCATTGTTTGAGCATGAGTTTGGTGAAATTTATATTGGGAAAATCATTGTAAAGTGAGATTGAGTTACCTGGCAGATGAAGATAGAGGAGAGAAGAGCAAAAAGAAAATGAGTTGCTACAAGACGCTGAATCAGTAGGTTTGAGACGATTTAAAAGTGAGTTTAGATTTCTTGCTACTCTTCTACAAATGGAATTGCCTCTGAGGAATTTTGATTTAAACTCTATTTTCCTCTTGAAGATCCCTGGTGGAGAAGCTACTTACTTATGAAAGAAAATCTAAGGTAGAGCTTATATGGAAGAGAAGTCCAAGTGTAGGGGAAGAAAGAGAGGCACACCATGTATGGTGGAAGGAGCCCAGGCTAGAGGACAGACATGGATTCTGGTCCTGACTTTACTACTATACTAGCTTATAGTGTAGTCATTTAACCTTCCTGGGCTGAAAAATGGACTGGCTCTTGAATCTATAATTTGGTTTTGAGGTTGAATATAGGATACCTCTAGTTATAGAAATGATAAGAGTTCCTTTTCATATGTGAGGAAATTTGAGGAACCTAAAGCAATGGAGTGGGCCTTAAGAAAGTAGAGAAACAGTATGTTTTGGATGAAGGTATGAAGAGGAAAAGGCCAATTCTGCCTTTTAGAATAGGCAGTCTGGAGGGAGTGCTGAAGGAAAACACTGGGGTAGAAAGGAGAAGAAAAGGGAGATACTTGTTATAACATCAGGTGTTTCTCTTTTATATGTCCCTATTCTTGCTGCATATTGAACTTTCCTGCATGTGACAGTCTGCATGAATATTAAAATCTGCTATTCTTCATATCTGAGACTTGTGTACACATGGTTGTTTTTGGTGACTTGCTAATGTCTGCAATCTGATTTGAACGCATAGAACCAACATTTTAATTCTTCTTTCTTAAATTTACTATGTTAAAATACAGAAAATATACATATGTATATATTGCCTGAATTTTAGGCAGCAAATGTTTTGCATGCTCTGAGATATTTTATTCCATTAAGTTTGGGCACAGGCCATTGGGGTCTAGTTTAGTAATAAGGATGTAAAACTTACCTGTTTGTAGCAAAGTAGCAAAGGCTAATCCATTTTCCCCAGCAGCTGCTTAAGAGCATTAGCTGGTTTTCATGTCTTCTGTTTGTAAAGAAAGTCAATTGCAGGGGACTTAGGATGCAGGTGACTGCCGAAAGAGCAGCCTCTCCATGTGGATTTGCAAAGCTCACTCTAATCCTATCCCAGAGTCTTCCCAGGCCCCGTGCCTGAGATTTCCTTAGTTGTGACTAAGGTTCAGAAAGCAGAGGCTGGTGACACATGGGAAGACTGGAGGCTTGCCCAATGAGTTGGCAAAATTTTAATTGGTAAAATTTTAGAAAATTGTGACTAGACCTCAGGCTTCTTAATTGCCAGTCTGGCAGCCACATTTTGGGGGATATAGAGAGTTAAGGTAGTTAGCAGGAGTACTACAAAATAAAACGCAATAAGAGTCTGTTAAGACCACCCAGAGGACTGGCCTGAGAACAAAGCAATGTTGTCTTCTAATCTCTATCTTAATCTCAGCATTACTTTTTTAGTTTATCTCTAATGATAAATTGTTTTTTGTTTTGTTTTGTTTTTTCCTTCTTAGATGCACAGGTCTTGGAAGAATTCTTAGCTGCCTCAGCTGCAGTTTCTCACAGCACCTTGGGGTTAAGGACTTGAACAAAAGCAGAGGGCTCCTTTTACTCTTAGAACATAGGCAAGATTTCTTAGTTTTTCCTCTGATGCCCAGTCCTATTACATTGTAAGGGATTTTTTTATGGATTGTAGATTTAAAAGCAAGAAGACTTCAGTCATAAGATCGAAACTCCCAGTCATTTATCTGAGTAATATTATTTTGCTTTGTTCTCTTCTTTATCCCCTGCCCCATTTTGTTTCTTTGTCCAGCACTGGGCTTCTTTTTGATCCCTGCATCCTTGTTCTGAGAGTTCTGTGCTGACTAGGAGCTCTGTGGTGGGGCAGAGTTTGCAGGAGTCTTGTTCCTGAAACTGGCTCAGCTAACACGAGGGCCATTCTGTGCAGACAGCACTCTTGTTCCTGTCTGCATTGGAGGAGACTGCCTTCCTCTTTGCATACTAACACAAATTGTTGGAATGCTATTTGCAACTTCCAGAGACACATTTTGGCTAGGCTTGATACAGTGTAAAAGGCAAATGGCCTACTCCTTTTTCAAGGAGTAAGAGTATTCACTATTATTTTACCAGGTTTGCATTGAAAGTCTAGAAATTGCTTTTTGAAGCCAGGGGTTGAATCAGGATGATTTGAGGGATAGGAGGAGGATCCTCATATTGCCCTCAAGATTTGGCACCCTGTCTAGATGCTTCGACTTCTATTTGTCTCCCTTTTCTCTGTCTGCTGTTTTACATAATGCTGTGTACAGTAGAGTCTGCAGACCAGATTGACAGGGAGGAACCATTCTAGCTTGTTCAGACCTCAAGCCCTATTTGGCAAACAGGACTCCTAATTGATCTTTTGAAGCAAATCAGAAACAGTTATTATAGTTTTAGCATCTTTGATCACTGCATGGCCTTCTCCTTCTCCTTCATACCTTTGAGTCTATTCTATTTATTAGAGAGCCTGTCCAGCAGCTATTGTCCCATTGTCTTTCTGTGCAATCCACAGTCAGATTAGACCTCCAGCCTTTTTCAGGAGCCTCATTGGCTAACAGTAAGCCATAAGCCCACTCTGTCATTTGAGGCAAACAACAGAGTCTCCCACCTCCATTCTGATCTGTAGTTCTTTTCTATAAGCAAGAATATATTACCATTTTGGTTCCCTTCAGCTTCTGTGTCATTGCATCGTTGCAAATCATAGCCGGTTATAGCATCTAAAAGTAGTACTTCGATCTTGAGAGTTAAGTACCTGAGAGATATATTCTCCTCTTCCAAAGGTGATACCACCTCTTTGTTGCCCTCATGCTATGAGATGACTTGAGACCACTGATTTGGAGATAAAGGGATGTCCTAATTCATTCTGTAGTAAATCACTTGAGTACTGTTGATCCAGATAAGTTTGCAGTTCTGTTTTTGTTGCTTTCCCTTATAGATCTAATTAGTCTTATTGGACACATTGAAGAATTGCAAGGTCAATGCAATTTTCTTTATGACTAAGAAGACTTCATTTTTTTAAATTGCAGGTTCCATTACAGCTTATAGAAAGTGTTGAATGCCGAGATATATTTCAGCTTCATTTGACTTGCAAAGACTGCAAAGTTATCAGGTATGTGGTGGTATGTTTGTGTTGCTGTTTAGTGTGGAAAATGTTTTTAAAAAATAAGTCCATTGTTTGGTAACTTAGTAAGATACCTTTTGAAGATTAGCCTCATTAGGAATATTTTCTGAGTAGTTTGTGCCTAAGATGTTTTATCTGTAGGATGAATAATTTGCTATGTTGAAAGATGTTTTTTTTAAATTTGGAAATAATTTTAAATTTACTAAAGTGCAAAAATAGAAATAGTACAAAGAACATCAGTACACCATTCACCCAGATTCACTTGTTAACATTTTACCATTTGCTTTATTATTTGCAGAGCCCTCCTGCTGGGGTGTGTGTGTGTGTGTGTCAGAGATTCTTTTCCTGAACAGTTCAAGTTACATAATCATGGCTCTTAACCCCAAAATACTTTGGCATGCTTTCCTAAGAATAGGAATATTTTCTTTTCTTTTTTTTTTTTTTTTTTGCGATGGAGTTTCGCTCTTGTTACCCAGGCTGGAGTGCAATGGCGCGATCTCGGCTCACCGCAGCCTCCGCCTCCCGGGTTCAGGCAATTCTCCTGCCCCAGCCTCCTGAGTCGCTGGGATTACAGGCACACGCCACCATGCCCAGCTAATTTTTTGTATTTTTAGTAGAGACGGGGTTTCACCATGTTGACCAGGATGGTCTCGATCTCTTGACCTCGTGATCCACCCGCCTTGGCCTCCCACAGTGCTGGGATTATAGGCTTGAGCCACCGCGCCCGGCCAGGAATATTTTCTTATGTAACTATAGCATCATCAGTTTTCAGTTTTACATTGATAATACTTTTGTCCAGTCTGCTATACATGTTCCAATTTTGTCAGTTGACCTAATGACCTATTAATGTTTCTTACAGCATTCTCTCTCATCTCTGTCTCATTTAGTACAGGATCTAGTCTAGGCCACATGTTGCATTTAGCTGTCATGACTCTGTAGCTTTCTTTAATCTGGAACATTTTCTATAGCCTTATTTTGTCTTTTATGACATTCACATTTTACAGAATACAGTCTTTTGTTTTAACGGAATGTTTCTTATTTTGTTTGTCCAGTGTTTCCTCAGTTAAATTGAGGTTATGTTTTCTCAACTGGAATACTGTATATAAGATGTCACGTCCTTTTCAGGATACTGTATTACATCTGGAAGTACAGTGTTCATGTCCTTCATTGGAGATGTTAATTTTGATTATCCCAGTCAAGATGTCATCTGGTTTTAGTATAATTTCTGTATTTTTTCTCTTGCAACTAAAAACAGTCTGGAGGAGGCACTTGAGACAATGCAAATGTCCTTGCTTCTCATAAAAATTTCTCCTTAAGTTTAGCATTCATTGATGATTTTTATCTGTGTTAACTATAATGGTTGCAGGCCATGCACAGTGGCTCATACCTGTAATCCCAGCACTTTGGGAGGCTGAGGTGGGTGGATCACTTGAGGTTAGGAGCTCAAGACCAGCTTGGCCAACATGGTGAAACCCTGTCTCTACTAAAAATACAAAAATTAGCTGGATATGATGGTGCATGCCTGTAGTCCCAGCTACTTGGGAGGCTGAGGCAGAAGAATCTCTTGAACCTGGGAGGCAGAGGTTGCAGTGAGCTGAGATCACACCATTGTACTCCAGCCTGAGCAAAAGAACAAGACTCCATATCAAAAACAAAAAACCAGCGACGACGCCTGAAGTGCATTTTTAAATTTAATTGCTCTAGAGGTCTTAAATTCCACAAGTTTTTACTGCATTCTTACTTGTTTTGGGGTCCCAGTAAACATTATATGTTGGCATATTGATGAGCCACCGTGATTGGAATAAGGGAGAGGTTTAGGTGACCCCATGGTTTTACGGTATTTTTTAAATTGCTTTTTAGTCAGTGAGATTTGGTTATTTTTGATAGGTACTGGCTACAACCCAGTTTAAGAAGGTTGCTTATTACTCAGTTTCTTAACATTGCATTCAAAAAGGCCAAATAATTAAACAAATCTTTATTTTTATTTATTTAGCTTTTTTGAGACAGTCTTACTCTGTTGCCCAGTCTGGAGGGCAGTGGTATGATTTTGGCTTACTCCAACCTTAATCTCCCTGGTTCAAGCAATTCTCCTGCCTCAGCCTCCCAAGTAGCTGAGACTACAGGTGCATGCCACCATGCCTGGCTAATTTTTTTTGTATTTTTATTAGAGATAGGGGGTTCAACATGTTGGCCAGGCTGGTCTCGAACTCCTGACCTCAAGTGATCCGCCTGTCTTGGCCTCCCAAAGTGCTGGGATTACAGGCATGAGCCACTGTGCCCAGCCTAAACACATCTTTATTTTATTTTATTTTATTTATTTTATTTTAGATGGAGTCTTGCTCTGTTGCTAGGCTGGAATGCAGTGGCCCGATTTCAGCTCACTGCAACCTCTGCCTCTCGAGTTCAAGAGATTCTCCTGCCTCAGCCTCCCGAGTTGTTGGGATTACAGGCGTGCACCACCACACCCAGCTAATTTTTGTAATTTTAGTAGAGACGGGATTTCACCATGTTGGCTAGGATGGTCTTGATCTCTTGACCTCATGATCTGCCCACCTCAGCCTCCCAAAGTGCTGGGATTACAGGTGTGAGCTGCCGCACCTGGCCTACATCTTTAATAAATTAGTTTTCACTAATTATTTTAACTCATTAGTTGTATATACTGAAATTGCAATTGACAGTAGAATTGTTTTGTTCTCTATATGGTCATAGCTGAAAATTACAGCGCAATCTGTCTTTTGGATCTGATTTGTCCTAATAGCTAAATAATGAAATTAGTCCCTAACTGGCTAAAAATAATGCTGTGGTTTTTAAACTTGATCTAATATGTTATTATGAAACAAAAAGGATTTTTCTAAACATTTTTAGTGAGGGACAACCATAAAGCTTTGATGGAAGAAGTAGAATAAAACTCCACTCATAAAAGAATAGTGGCCATCTTTTGGTAATAATTGTGATTAATGAATCTTAGAGATTTTATTAGTCTAAAAAAGTAGATTTTCCACATGGTCAGCTTCCTTCTTTTGGACATTTTGTTTCATTGGCTAACATTTATTTTTCTTGTAAGTGATAATGAACATGTGAATGACTGGCTCAGATGCTTTCTTGATTGTAGTTCCCACTTCACTACAAGTGGGCACTCTTGAATGCTTTTCTTACATTTCATTTCAACTGTCATCTGATTACATCCATACTGTTTGACTTCACCAAAGGTGTCAGTTTTCCACCTTTGAGCAGTGTCAAGAGTGGCTGAAGAGACTAAACAACGCAATTCGACCACCTGCTAAAATAGAAGATCTCTTCTCATTTGCATACCATGCTTGGTGCATGGAGGTCTATGCCAGTGAAAAAGAGCAACATGGAGACCTGTGCAGACCAGGTAGGCCTTTCTGAAATGTGCAAGTGGCCAGGGGCTTTATCAAGCTACTGATGGAGGTACTTTTAACATGCAGTGGGACCCAGAAGCAATCAGTGTATATTTTAGGGAACACCTACCATGTGTCCAGCATTCTTCTCAGTTTAAAAGAACATGTTTTCTGCCTTCCACAGGAAGGGAAGAACACTAGATGGCATCACAATCTACTGGGCCTAAAAATAGCTCAACTAGAATAAGGTTTTATAAATATTATGGAAGCTTAATCAAAGAAAGTTATGAGTTTTGTATACATGTGTGTGAAGACTTCATATTTAACGTGGCTTTTGAATTGGCTTGGAAAGTTGAATAGGAGTTCATTGGTTAGAGAATGGGGAAAAGAATATTAGAGCAAGTAGCATGAACAAAGGCACAGAGGTGTGGGAATAAGCTGTAGAATATAAAATGGTCTTTTGCTCTCTTAAAAATTTCAAGTCAAACATTACTTATTATCACAGGATGAAGAAACAGAGGTCCAGAGAGGCCATGTGTCTATGAAGAACAAATATATTGTAGATTTTAACATGTGACAAAAGAAGAGAGAGGAGGGAGAGAGGGGGT